GGGATCCAGCAGGGTGAGGACAATGATGATGAAGTTTCCCAGCAGGCTCAAGATGTAATTGAAAAATAGAAACAAGAAAATCACAGATTGTAGCAGAGGGTCATCTGTCAGTCCGAGCAAAATGAACTCTATCTCCCCTGACTTGTTCTTCATTTCTCTTTTGTCTTGTCAAATCTATAGAAGAAAGATAATCAAAATCAAGAGAACAATGTTTCTTCCTTTACATGCATGAAATATTTCAAACTTAGAAAATTAATAAAGTACAAATATTTTCCGTCGACAATTTAATGTTCATCAAAATGAAAGTATCTGCAACTCCATCCAACAGGTTTATAAGATTGCTAGGAATCTCTTTGCTTGTCCTAAGTTGAGTAAAGCCTATTTAGCAATTTACAAGAAGTTTATTATTCATTTGAAATGCAGTTGCCAATGTCATTAGCTTTGATCTATGACTCTTGCAAATACTGTATTTCAATACGCTGTTCTAAAAGTTGATATTTCCAGGTTCTAAATTTACGTACTACCTCACATAACTTGTTACCTTAATTATGTGATAGTTTTAGGAAAAGGATTTATTATCAGGAATCATAATAACTAGAAATTAAAATATATGGGTGATAATATGAAACTTTGTAACAGGAAACATTCCAAAACAAAAAGTTGCATGAGGATCACAGTGACTATCTACTGATTTGATTTTAATTATGAACAGACCACAATAGTACTATGTGAATAATTAAGAAACTGAAAAATAAATCACAGAAGTTTCAAACATGGGTTATCAGTTAATCCTGCAGTGATAAACACTGGTGCACTTGTGTGTTTTTTCTGTATTTTACCATACCTGAATGTTTAAGTAATCTACAATAAAGTAACAGTGACAACTATAGTACTTCTGAATCACAATAAGAGGAGTGATGTTTCAGGTACAGTTAAGCAATATAAGTTCATATTTTATAGATGATTATGGTAGTTTATAAATAGTATATATTTCTAGAGTTTCTTAAAATATTTAAGCTTCGGTTCTTATATTCTAATATATTACAATCCTACAAGTGAAAAGGATGTTGATTAGGTATTTGAAAATTTAAAAGACCCCTAATGTCTATAAATTCACTTATATCCTGCACAGCATATAGATGTTAGATGGCATATAATTTTCTTATTAATATGGAGTGTGTCAGTTAGAAATTTATACTCATATAATAATTTATGGTTCATGAAGTATTTAACATATACAATCAAAGTATTTTACTATCATATGATTAAACTTTTCATCTTTTTCTTAAAAATATATTTACTTTCCTTATATA